GTCCGTTACGTGCCGACTGTTGCCGCTTCCGCTGTCGCACGCGACGGCGCCGCTATGCGTCGAAGCCATAAGCGGCTATTCATATTGCCGTCGCGTTTACATGACGGTGCAAGGAATGCAGCAGCAACTGCAGTCGTCGGTGCTGATGCAGCTGCACTTTCCGCCCTGAGGCTTAACGATCGAGCCGGCGGCCGAAGAGACAGAGTTGGTAGAGGCAGGCATTGCGAGGTATGAATATGCGAAGATCGAGTGAGTTTACGACGTGTTATGACTCGGAGGTTGACGGTCGCGGGTTCGTGACTGTTGGTTCAGAGAGATGACGGAGTTGCGCTGCGATAACGTTAGCGGTGTTCGCAGCCACGAGATCAGGGCTGGACTCACAGTTTATGCGATGAAGGTGCGTGAAAGGTGAGGGTTGTAGCGGGATAGTAGGCTGCGTTCTCGAGGAGGCAAAGGGGAGATTAATACGGTCGCAGAGGGCATCCAGCCCTGCTTCAATGCTGCGCGTGGCGCTAGGCCAATGACAGGCCGACGCTAGGGGCTGCATGACGTCGCCCGCGTGGCAGTGAACGTGGCTAATGCCGCGCGTTCGGTCAGAGGCGCGCGCGGGGCATGCAGAAGATGGAAATGCATGGCAGATGGTGTGGAAATGTTGTATCGAGATCTATCTAGATGGTAGAACGGTAGGGAAGGGTATTGCTAAACATGAGATGAGGAAAGCCCAACACCGTGCCTCGCCTTGAACATGCAGGTCATTACCGTATCGTGTCTTTGATGGCTTATACGTCCCTCCAGGTCGGTTGGTCCTTCTCTGCGAAGGGTGTTTTGACAGCTGTAGCGCGTTAGCTAGGTTCGAGGGAGAGTTTTGACTTCATCTTACCATTGCTGTCTCCGAACGGGTCATCCTCATCCTCCTCTGGCTCACTGTCTGGTTCGACGCGCTGCGGAGGCATGGGGATGCTCATGGGCCTAGGCGGCTTCGGAGGGGCAGACTCATTCAGACCCATATTACCCATCGCAGCTTCAGCAGCAGACACGTTGCCTTCCTCGTTGTCACTATCGCTGTCATCGTCGATGCTCTTATCCATGAGTTCGAATGCCATGAGGCCCTTGACTAGCTCGTCGTTGGCGTTGAGAAGACCGCCAATGTACTGCTCAGACTCGACCAGGTGAATGTAGCGCAAGATCTGGCGACGGAGTTGCTTGCACGTCTCGAAGCGTCGCATAACTTCTGCGTTCTCACTGACACGCTGTTGCTCTCGGTTGATGAGTTGTAGGCCGTTCAGCAGATTCGTACTGGCGACGTTTGCCGATGCCATTGTCTCAAGCATCTGGCCCTTCTCCTTCTCGAGGTTGAACGGCTGACCCTTAGTCTTCTTCTTGTCCTTCTTATCCCTTTTGAAAAGTGAGGTTGTTGGAAGAGGGGTACCAGCACCGAGTACAACAGGTGTGGTCGTTCGTGAAGATGACGTATGGGGTGGCTCCGGTCGCCTGCTTCTAGGAGGAGACTGCGAATGCTCCTCACGCTCGCGCGCAGCTTCGGCATCTTGCTGTCGCACAATCCGAGATTGTTGTGGCTGAGGACGTTTGGTACGAGGAAGTTCTTTGTGTAGTGCAGCTATCCGCTCAAGGCCAGGCGTTCCCTTGTATGCGACAGCCCAACTTCGGAACAAAACGTTGGCCTTCTGCCGTACTTCCGCATCGACTGTGTCGTCCCTTGCCAGGATGCGGAGTCTCTCGAGAAGTGGCTCATCTGCGAACGCTTTCTGGAATCTGGTTCCAGCATTCTGAATCAGAGCGTCCATTATGACAAGGGCGCGGATCTGGCGATGCACATTGCCATACTTGCTGCCGACTTATTAGTGCATATTGTAGTTGCGCGGGAATCTGGCTTACAGCTTCTTTCGCAGAGCTCGTGCTGCTTCCGTAGGACCAGATGCCTGGATGCGAATGACCTCGATGAGATCAACGACACCACCGACATCCTGTACTAATTAGCAAGAGACATGCAATCTTGACAGGACAACTTACATTCTCCTCGTATTGCTCGCTCGTCAATCTATCGATCTGGACCGTGACAGCCGAGAAAGCGTGCTTCTACGTTTGATCCATGTTCTTAGTACCGTGTGACAGTGTTCAAAGAAGCATAGCGGGCAGGGGTTCTCGAAAATCGGAAGGTCCGCATATGCTTTAGGGTCCTTGTGGTGATGAAGTGTTTTGCGAGGGGGTTCGATTAACGCCTCGACTGATGACTCGCTTGACAACGACAGACTTTTGCGGTATAAAGGAAGTGCCTGCAGTTCAGAAGATGCACTGCTATACGAAGAAGAAGTTCTACGAAGCGTCTCTCCGTAGAGAAGCGGTCGTCCGTCGTACCAAGAAGCGTGGGAAATCATGACTATGGTAGGAATGGTGATTTGAAGGATGAATGAGACGGGGCTGCTGCGGAAGAGAACATGGTATTTGAACGCCCTTAAGGAGAAACGATTCTGAAGAAGAACTTACAGGCATCGTACGTTTGTCGCTTCGTTTGACCCTTCAGGGTAAGACCTGCTATATTTGGGAGGCGAGAAAAAGAAAGCACCCCGAACGGGATGTTTGCTTGGCTGTCAGAACGAATCTGGACAGAATCAGGGTCTGGTGTTTGCACCACGGTCTGAGAAAGGTCGGAGGGTCGGTCTGGAAGCAGAGAGCCGGTGTTACAGATAAGAATAGAACACTCGGGGTTCAACGGAACATGTGTTGACGAGTGGTGCAAAGTTTGCAGGAAGTCAGAGCTGGTGGCAGAGCTTCGTAGCGGAAGTCTAAGTAGTAATGGTTGCCTATGCGCACGCGATAAGATGAAGCTATGGTTGCTTGGTCGGGCGCAAGCCCCCCGCAGTGGGGTGGCTTTGGGCTGAGTAAGGGACCATGGAAGTCGCGACCCACCACACCAACCCTCTTCACCTCATCTCTCACTCCGCTTCCATGTCGTGTCGCTTCACGCATAGAGTCAGCATGGATGCATCGAACGCGCTGCATCACGATGGGGACACGAGGACAACGAGAGAACGAACTGGTGATGATGCGTGAGAAGCCCGACGCGCGCTCACTCACCTTTTCTCACTACACGTTGCTTTTATCTCATGTCGCTTGAACTAACTTGAAGTATGCAGATGCACTCACATTCGCTCGTCAACTTCTAGTTTCACGGCCATCAATCAGCCCTCGACGCAATTTTCGACGCCTCCCTCGTCAACCGCGGCACCCGTGCAGCAGAACCAGGCGCGCCGGAGAGCCGCCGTGCACGAGCGACGGCGACACAATTCTACTGTCGCGCGCTATCTTGGTCTTGGTGGCGCGGACGAGCCAACGCATCTCGAAATACGTGCTCCTTCGCCGGCATTGCCGCGTAGCCCGCCTCCAAAACCTCGACGCAAGCGACCTCGGTTGGCCGTCCAAGGGAGCACATCAGATGGCAGACGCGTGAATCCGGAAGGAAACGGACTCCCCGATCAACCTCGTGTGTCGGAGAGCTTTCGGACAAAGAAGCCTGCACGCAATTCCGCAGCCTCTAGATCTAAGGCTTCACTATCGATGACAACGCCGCAGTCAATATTTGTTGACGATGCGCAAACACCACGATCGACAACAACCGGCAACGGAACGGCGGTTTCACACCAGGACCACCTCAGTCAAGCCTGCAATGTGACAGATTATGCTTTCGCGAGTCCTGAAACCATACGGAATGTTAGCCAAGATACAGTAGCCGCATTGCCTGTGCAGTATCCGACTGCACTCTGCGAGTTTGATTTCGACGATAACGACTTTGATACCAGTGAACCTGAACAACTTGATGCTCCCCTCGCACCACTTCAGAGTGAGAACTCGATGCCTGCGCAAGACGACTTCGACTTTGACATCAACGATGATGACCTGCTCACATTGACATCCGAGATTGATGACGCATGTCCTGACCTTGCAAATGCTGCTTTGAACCGCTCTGTGCAGCCCGGGGACAGGGACGATGACAGACTGCGTCACCCTCCCGGCACCTGTGCGGATGTCCCTATCATACTTGATGGAAGTCCTGACAAGAAGACCTGTCAGCCCGTGTCAAAGCAATTCACTTCCCCGGTCACTCTCACGACGCGCCTGCAAGCAGCAACTGGCGATCTAAGTTCATCGAAGATACGCAAACCATTTGTCAGGCCACCATTTCCAGAGGCTGTCCGTGATCGCTCACCCATCATCGGTCTTTCGTCAAACCTACTGCTCAGGACATGTTTCCGCATCGGTGAAGTGATTAACCAAAGCTATCAGGCATCCAAATCAGGGAAGCACATCATGATTGAGATGTATGCCAGAGTGCTTGCTTCTGAGCGGACTAGTACAGAGCAGCAGTTCACCTTCTGCGACCTCTTCCACGCCAAGCCACCTTACATCAAGGCAGTGTATAATGCTACCATCTGGAAGTCGGTGCAGCTCTTCGAGTACGACAGCAGAAGACTGTTACAGCAAGGGCGGATCTGCCGCTGCATTGGCACCATGAAGCGCGAGGATAAGGAATGGACAATGACAGTCCTCAACATCTGGGAAGCAACTTGGGAGGACATTGAGTGGGTGCAAGGAATTGTGGACTCTTAGCAATAGCATGAAAAGAGTGTTCAGGGGTACGAAGGCACGGGTGATCTATGGGTGACCTACGCGTCCTGATCAACATCATACCGAAGGCGTATGGAAGTTGTTAATACGTTTCGTATAGTACTACGGCTGACGCAAACAGCCTGTGCTATAAAAGTTTCAATTTCAGAGACATTCAGAGGGCGTGGTTGTAGGTAAAGCTTCACAGCATGGTTCACCCATGACGGTGGCTTGCACGTGACGAGAGGCCCCGCTTCGTGACATTGACGTTCAACGGACGGGCCATTCACCAGTCCCGACAAATTGACTCTGATCACAGCGCGCTGCTGAGAGAATGCGTTTCAGGTCGCTTCCTGTCATATCAACCTTCCACCTCAATGTTGACGATGACGCCAGACATCGGTAGCGAGCGCAGTACCGCCGAACAGGGCGAGGGAGCCATGATGGAGTCGCAACCTCAACTGGCGACAACGCCGTCAAAGACGAATTCGCCCAAAGCACGGTCGCTCTCGGACAGCACGCCCCGTCTTGAGCCCTCTCCGAAATTCCGCGAACCCGCTCGCATGTCCAAAGATGATCAGACCATCGTCGCCAGCCCCAGCACACCGCGTCGACCCGACTTCCTCTCGCGAGGCCTGTCGCTGCAAATGCCTGCGCGAGAGTCGCCCATGCCCAGTCCCGCCCACTTCGCTGCCCGTGTGCCCCTCTCGCCCCAGCTAGATTCGCGCAACACGTACGCGTCGCCCGCCTCTGTGCTGCCCCGACGGTCGCGCGGTGCCGAGTTCTCGAGAGCCTGCACCAACCTCCACCACTCGACCCTCCCCGACCAATCCTCGCCAGATTCCTCGCCGACGATCACGCAAAAGGGCATCAAGATACCGCCGCGGAAGCCTCGCTCCAACTCGATGCTGCTCGACTCGCCCAATGTGAGCATGCAAGGGGGCTGGAGCCATGGCGATAGAACCGCCCCGTCCAGCTCCGTCGGCAGCATCAACATGATGGGCTCGGAGGACTCTAGTAGCTCTTCGGACGAGGTGGATCCACTGGACCCTGAGGACAACGACGATCCCATGATCATGACCCCGCAGGCGAAGACCAACACTCTCTTCCCCGGACTCAATACCGGTAACGCGTGGTCGAACTTGTTCTCGCCTGGTGGACAGCCCAACTTTGCGAGCATGCATAGGGCAAGGTTGCGCAAGGGTCGCAGCCGGAAGAGCTCGAGCTCGGCCAGCGGACACAGCTCCATGGCAAGCCCTGGGCCAGCATCGCCGCCAAACGGCAAGGATACAGGATACTTTGCGCGAGAAGCGGCTATGCGGAAAGCGGGATCACGACGAGAGAGCCTGTCGCTCTTTGCCAACGACCTTCACATCTCGTCTGGCAATGACAGCGGAGACGAGGGCGGTAATTTGCCCCAGACTCCAGGTGTGGTGAGGCGGGTTGTCACGCGGAGAGGCAATCTACTGGTATGTACTTCCGTTGACACGCAGACATCAGATGCTAACTTTACCAGCCCAAATCGAGGCAGTTCGGTCGCATACGAGCGGAGCTATTTGAAGAAGCCGCACCGGTTGATAGCGAGTTCCGTCGCGAAGCCGAGATCATCCGACAAGTGAGAGAGAGCGACACGGATCTGGAGCGGCCCTCTAATACAGCGCAATCATCGCCCAATCTACTACCCACAGTACCCGGGCTGGACGGTCCGCTCGAAGGTGTCCCGGAAGAGGGCAGCGAGAGCAACATGAGTCTAGACGGATCAACGTCCAAGGGACTTTTCGGCGCATTCGGTAGTCTTCACAGTGGTCGCAACTCGATAAGCAACGGATTCTGGAACCAACGCGCCGCACATACTCCACCGCCATCCTTCCCTCGCGCAGAGTCATCCGCAATGAGCGAGGACATGAACATGGACTCGCCTTCTATGAATGGCGGAGCATCCCGAGCATCTACACCAGGTCCCATGCAGCCCCCCACAGCAGCTGAGGCCTTGAAGAAGTCAAACAAACGCCGACGAGACGACGACTTTGACGAAGCTTCGATCAAACGACGTGCTGTTTCCCCAGGCCTCAGTGTTCACAACAGCCCGGTCATCTCGCAGTCGCCAGTACAAAGGGACAGCAGTCTTTGGGGCACGAATACTAAAGCCAGTCGGGAGACTTCGATCAGCGGTCAGTCACACGGTGAGCGTTCAAACAGTGGAGGCAGCATGAGCATGACACCGACACTGGGCCCAAAGCGGATAGGTCTGCAGGGCATGACGGATACCAACGACGGCTTGATGAAGATGAGCATCGAGTGATGGCCATGTGACTTCTTGTAAGATAATGTTAGCATTAATCACGGCTTAGCGCGGCGTTCCAGGATTAATGAGGCCAACGATGGTTGCTCGATATATATAGATACCCATTGTCAATTTCCAATTTCAATATCATAAACGTAATGCGAACATCGTCCGCGTGCACTGCAGTTGACGTAGCGTCCTCCGCAATCGAGTATGGGCACATGGATGTTTGACCCCTGTTCGCCCTGCTGGCCCTTGCCCCACTAAGCGGCTGCGCGCCTCGACGTCCGCCCGCAACTCCACGACGCGCCAAACAATTGAGACAACCACAGAAGCATACCCGCCCTCTGCTACATAGCCAAATCGCAGCTATGTCACGCACAGCAGCTCTCTCCTCCTTCATCGACAGCGCGCCGCCTGGCGAGGTACTTTCCCCACCAAAATAGAGCTCCCCTCCCTCCAGTACACCTGCTAACAGCACCACAGCTCGCCGATGTCACCAAGGCAATCAAGTCAATCCTCGGCGACGACGCCGTCCAAAACGAGCTCTCGCCCGCCTTCCAAAAGTACAACGAGGAGCAATTCACCACAACCAAGCTCCCCGGCGGCAGCACCGAGGTCCTAGTCAGCCAGTACAACTCATTAGGCGACGGCCGCTACTACGACATCGACACACAAAGCTCCTTCGACTTTGACCACGCCACGGGCAAAGCCAGCGCTGTGCAGAGTTACGTCGTAGAAAGCGCACAAGAAGAGCTCCTGTACGTTCCGCCCCGCCCCTCGCCAAGCCAATCCCGCGCGCATCCCTCGTGCACACCCATTGGCTACCAACACACCCATGCCGCATAAAAGCTTAACCTAACCTCACCCCAACAGCAAGAGTCTAAACAAGTCCCTCAGCACCCACGCCTCAGAACACTACCCCAAGTCCTCTCACGGCGTGTACCCGGTGCCCTCCTCCCCCTCCTCCCTCGCCATCATCACGGTCGCAAACAAGTACTCCCCCACAAACTACTGGAACGGCCGCTGGCGCAGCTCCTACATCTACGACACGTCCTCCGGCACCATCACCGGCAGCATAAAAGTCGACGTGCACTACTACGAAGACGGCAACGTGCGTCTGCTTACGACCAAGGAGGTTAGTCTCAGTGCGGGCGCCAGTGCGAATGGAAGCGAGGTTGTAAGGAAGATTGCTGCCGAAGAGAAGAAGTATCAGGAGGATCTGAACAGGGCGTTTGGTAGTCTGAGTGAGGGCGCGTTCAAGGCGCTGAGGAGGCAGTTGCCGATTACGAGGCAGAAGATTGAGTGGGAGAAGATTAGTGGGTATAGGTTGGGCCAGGATATTGGTGGTGGGAGGAGGTGAGGGCATGTTGCCTCCGGGTGTGGTTTCGAGATGGAGGGGGTCAGGGCATGAGACGTGTGGGGGTGTAGCTTGGTGTATTGAGGGATCGCTGAATGTGATGGCTGTAGCACTTGGTATGATATTTGTGGCTGCTCACTCCGATAACCTCGCTCGCGTGCTTGCTAGGTGAGACATGGTGTCTTGGAACGTTTCTGGTATATGTGGGCGGCGAGACCAGCTTCGCCGACCACATCATATTGTCATGCTGAAGGCATGCCGCTTCTGCACTGAGGTCGTGGAAGGGCGGGCCCCACCATCTTCAGTACACATGAGGCGATAGTGACTTTCCAGTTACGTCGGGTAGTCACAGTGTGGAGCGCACCTTGTTGGGCCGTCCATTCAGATGGTGTCAGTCATGGTCCCGCTTCCTCTATTGTCACTATTCGCTTGTCTTTTAAGCATCACTTTGTCTCACGAGAGCGTTGAAGTTGCGGGAGTTGCGCACAGTTCGATCTTCTCCGTGCTGTTTGCTTTGCTTGTCCTGTTCTGTGCTCCCTTGTCTGCCTATGTGGCTCTGCGGTGTCGCTCGCTGGCTGATGCAGTGCTTGCGGAGTACGGTGGCGCTGCATTTCATGAGATCTTGGGGTCCTATCATGATGGTCTAGGTGTGGGTTTTACACTGCGTGTCGTTGGGTGTGGCAATACATGAGGAAGGAGAGGATGAGAAAGAAGAAGGTAGGATGATACACTCAAAAGTGGTATTGTTAACGAGGTGGCTAGTGACGGTAGCGTCGGCAAACACGTGATATAGTTTGGAACACATTCCATAGTCCATGTACAAGTATAAATAGTTTTAGATACGATCTACATTTCAACGAAAGGCGTTCATGTAGGCGACTGCTTGTCAAGTACAAAACTAACACAGGACTATCATGACTACCAGGCATACCAGATGGCCAGAGACGCGCTCAAAGCGGCGCCTAAAATGACACGAGAAGACGAGTAAATACTCGAGGCAGCACCCCATTTCGCAGACAATAAACATCGGCCTGACTGATCCCTTTCCCTTGTGCCTGGTAGGAGGTAGAAGCTGCGGACATCATACTCGATCGTGCCGCAGTTTCCATCTCTGTCACTGACGCAGTCGTAGCCATACCAGGGAAGTAGTGGTGGCATGGTGGCGTCGCTGTTCGGGTCCGCGTTGTAACAGTCTTTAGCAGGGTAAATGTTCACGCGGCGATCTGCGTACTGTTCGGCTGCTTCGGCTCCTGGCACGTGTAGGTGGTAGAGAACATTGGTGTAGTTCGCTTGGGCGTTGTATAATGCGGCGTTCTCTACGGACCAGTTGATGCCTGCCGTGGCTGAGAAGGGTGGGTAGGCGCTTTGGTTGACGAAACCTTGGGTGGTGTTTCCGCCGAAGATATCTTCTAGGTTGAAGCAATGATCCATGGTGGGAATGCTCGATGAGGTAAACGTCAGGGCTTCACTGCTGTTGCGGAAAGAGCAGGTGTCATCTTGGCTCTCCGTGAAGAAGCGCAAGGTCAAATTGGCGGCACTGCGGAGAATAAGTCGACGAGTTCAATAGATGCGGACGGTAGGTGACACGTACCTTTGTACTTTGAAAGGAAACAACAGTAGAGCGACTGATGCCAGTCTACAGGTATTTAGGAACTGCATCGCGAAGGGATGCCCAGGCGATGTATGTCCAGGTAGTCTTGTGCGCGTGATGATTTCGGGGCGTTGTTATCAGTAAACGATAGCCTGCAAACAAGCTGAACGTTTGTGCAACAGAGAGTAGAGAAGCTCCGAAGCCCTCATCCAGATGCCATGTTTCTTTGGGGAGGCCTAGCATAATAGGGTTGCAGTCTGCCAAGTCGACTGCGTCCACGGGTAAAATCGTCCTCATCCACCAGATACTCCGCTCATTAGATTGCAACCACACCTGGGCATCATGCATGAGCCGATATCCGTAGGACGGTGCCCGGTTAAGTTGGAATGCCCGTTTCAGCAATGCTCTACTGCCGTCCACTATGATGTGGCGTGGTGCCAAGCTACGGAATGCATCCCGAGGTCGCCAAGCTCCCGCTCGCCCCGCGGGCCAAGATGCTTATGTGGCACAGTTCGCTAGGCGCTGTGTCACGAGGCTTGGCAGCTCCAATCACACCTTCCAATTAATCACGCCCGACGGCTCTATCCCCAACTGCATAAAACTGAAGGCACCTGCCGACTTATCCATCTTGGTAAAGGGCCAAGATAAGCCCAAGAGAAAGTGCCAATAGGTGTAATAGCCACTAATATCGCGCGCTGCATAACCGGGCCGGCACGCCCACAAGCGTTGCCGTTGGCTCGGATCGTATGTACAGCCTTCGGCTTCAGCCGAAGGCCGACGTCATCTTGTAACGTTCATCACGAAGAGTATCTAAGTATCTGTCTCTTAACTGCGGACTCTTCGAATTGGTACCCAACCAGATACGTACCTACCTAGGTAGGTACTCGTGCTGTAGAGTGCCCCGGCGAAGTCGTACCTGCCTGGGTATGCAATAGAAGTTAAGTAGTAATAGACACCTCGGCACTCAACATATTCCTTTCACTGTAGAGTGGCTCCGTGTAACTATTATTTCGGCTGTAGACCATAGGAAGGATAATGCCCTTGTTAATATAAGGGCAGGATCTTCAACTATAAATCATGCCGCTCTTTCCATCTTGGCTTACTTCGTACTCCAGTAACAACTTTGTGTCCGTTTGTGGCAGATGCAACGTTACCAACTCTAGTCAAACTACCCAGGCTGTAGCCGCATTGCATGCATTAAGCTTCTCAGGCATAATATAAAGAAGTTATCGCATCTATTCTAGCTCGAGAAGATAACATCTGGCGGAGGACGATCTTGGCGGAAGACGATCTTGGTGACACAATGTTTCTTGGTGACAGACCCATCGGCAATATGACGATATCTTGTGATTTTATCAACACACCAAGTAAGGATCGCTGTATATCCTTGACTACACTGCATCGGCGATGCTGCATGGCATGCCGGTGATGCTTCTTGGCTAGGTAGCGTGTCCAGATGGATACTTTGGAAGCAGATGCCGAGACGTTTGCTAGCCCGATGTACTGTATGAGCGGGTACAAGGTACCGTAAGAGTGTCACACACGAATTATGAAAGCGGAGTCAAGATAATGGGTTGATTCAAGGTCTGGAATCCTTCATACACGCAATTACGTCGAAACTGATCTGCCGCTCGACACAGTTGAAGATGCTACTACGTACGCTTCTCCAAGCTCGAACACTCATCCAAATAACCTCACTGTGAGCCCATGCAGTTCCACACCAGTGGCCCAGTGGCTACTGGGAACGTGGTGCAATAGCCTCGGCAGATCTGCTCGACCCCATCCCCAGACTGCTCAGGCATGAAACACTCGTCCTCGCAGTCAGGCTCTATGCGTACATGTCAGATCATATCACTGAATAGTAAAGATCCACGCTAGGCTGCTTGAACTCACTGGATCCAAATGAATCGCCCACTCCGGATCTATCGCCGTCGATACAGTCGGGGACTCCGTTCTGTCGTTTGACCGAAAGTGCGAAAGCACTTGTGAGGAAGATGCCAACCAGGCTGATAGAGAGTTTCATGTTGATTGAAAGTGAAGGTTGTGGAATTGACTTCTGGAATTGGCTGAGATGTTGCGGAACTGATGCTCTGCACCAGCCGCTTCGAAGACGATATCCTTATACACCTTCGTGTACACCACAACAGCACGCGTCCCATGACTTGACCCCGCCACAACCAATATTTCCAAGGTCTTGGATTCATTGAGATACGTTTCTGTTGAGCTGTAACCGAGCTATTCATCCGTTGGAAGCGAACACGTGGAGTTCTGTTATGCACTTAGGCGCCAGGAATACATTTCACTCAACAGTTACCTGGGTAATCGCCCAATCCATGTGTGATTATACACCGAGCTTGCCGGAGGCACAGTCAACCTCGTACCACTTCAATCAATATGCTTACAGGTATACGCTTGGCTGCGTGCGATTACGTACACCATGATACCATCATGGCAGCATGCGGACACACGTGGGTTGTCGACAAAATCCGTCGTCAGATACTGCTCGCTTCTGGAAATAATCCTATATATTGATATGCCTCCGACCCCATCACTGCTTGCAAGTCTCATTCAATACTCATCAATATCATATTCACACGCGCAAAACATCATCAAGCTCAAGATGTCTGGCTTCTTCAACGCAATTGGCCTTGTCAGCGGTGCTTTGACAATCGTATCCTTTACCGAATCCCAACTACCCGACAATAAGCCCCAGGGCCCAAGCATCAGGATCAAAGGTAGGATACAGTTCAAAGTAGTATCGAAGACTCCACCGCTAATCGGGTATACTTTCTAGCCGGCCTTCACGGAGTGGGCGAAGAGTCTGAAAGTCTGGTAAGTTGCGCCCACAACATTCTCTCCAAAAGACTGGTGAAGACTAAGAAGACTCTAGGGTGGGTCGATCGCCGCAGTGTACGCGTGGGGCGAAGGCAATCGCTTCAGCGGGCAGGCAGGCGGTTGTGGGATTGATCCTGGCAGCTTCTGCGATGTGACCGTAGACCAAGGCTCGGGTCGGCGAGCGGAGTACATTGGCGTGTCCAACAACGATGATGCCACTTGCATCGCCTGGATCAGCGTCAACCAAGCTGACGATACCGATGGAGGGGCTTGGACTGGCGACATTGGCCGCCACTGTGGCGAGAGGTGGTACAACAGCAGGGAGTCTGCAGGCAATCTCAAAGACAGCTCAAAGCCATACGTCCCCGCGTGTACTTGGCTCGACAAAGGTGAGTTCTGACTACGGAGGCATGTGAGACATATACTGACTTCGGACGTCTACCTCTGCAGACGAAACAAACGATATCGTGAACGCAGCACTCAAGTTCACAACCAATGCGTATGCTAGCAGTGTCCAGGAGGTCGCTGACGAGGAGAAGACATGCGATTCGACCATCTATGGAGGAGACAGTGGACCAATTGCAGGTATGTGTGTCCATGCCCGCATATACAAGATGATTAAACTAACCCTCTCCTGCAGCGCAACCCGCCAAACGAAGCATCCCTGAACGCCCTACATGGATGCACGAGTACCTCATCGTCTCCAACTGGACCAGCCAAACTGCCGCGGACCTCTGCAACTCTGCCACATCCTGGGGCCCCGACTTCATTGGATCCGACGATCAGTTCTGCGACATGAGCACCAAGACCCTTACTCCACTTTGTTCACCCGAGACCGTCGGCAGCTCGGGCTGCGTTGATGTTGACGAGGACGCTGTCAGTGTGGTGAAGCGCACCAGCGTTGCAAGGCGGGCCGCGACGGTTTTGCACAAGTCTTACAAGAAGATTGAGAAGTGGGGAGTCTAAGGCTTCGGCCTCACACAATGGGGACAGGAAGATTGAAGGCTTTCCACTCGGATTGCTGCTAGGATTTCTTTTGGTTGGTCGGTGGGCCACATTGGAACTTACATACGTCGTGTGCGTACAAACATACATGCTGTCGCTACCATCCTACTGCCTTGATGCCACGTGATGTCATTGTTTGTATCTGCATTTCCAAGGGCGCTGCTGAGTTGGGAACACGTCCTGGAAGAACATTAGAGATGAAGTCTGAGGTCGGGAGCTCGGCGATAGGGGCTTGAGCCCCACATTTTCATGCGACCAATCTGCGTAGGCCGAGGTACCACATACCTGCGCTAATCTCTTGAGCGCAGGCGCCTGGACCCTGTTTCACCCGAGCCTTGTATACACTATTTCACATCGCTATTGCGACAGAGCTTGCGTTGCTGCAGATCTCAGCGCGGCTCAGACACGCTGAGGGTCTAGCGTGGACAGTGGGCCAGCGACTGGCTATGTCATTACTGAATAGCTGAAACCGAATCACTGCAAGAGGCTTTGTAAACTCGGCCATCGAGCCCAGGTAGCCATATAGGATCTTTTGTTCAGTCAAAAGCCCAGAGGTCGTCCCCATTACCTGTTCCCACGATACATACTCATTGTGCAATCACTCCTGCGTTGCACGCAGATGCGATGCAAAAGATGCAGTATCCATCCCTTTTTGCAGCCTTCACGCTTCTGCACGAGACTCCCAAGACGAGATAAGATTTAGGGTGTGCGGCTAGCTACATGCAGTGGAACAAGGTCTGTAGAGAAGACACCCGCGTTGTGATTGCCGAATATGAGGCCTCTAGGTAGTGAATGCGCAAGACGTAGCACTGTCACATTGGATAAAGCGGTAAGTGGTAGCAGATCAAGACTTGTAGTATCTGCATGTGCACGAGCACCGCGAAACGTGATGACATTATTTGCTGCCCACACAGGCGATTGGGAACCAGAAGGAACAGCGCGTACAGCGCTCAGGACCCAAATGAAAGAAGACAATGCCGAGACAACATCAATGGCGATAGCAGCCACGTGTAAACGCCATGAAACCCTCACTCCCAACGCCTCAACCCCATCAAAAGCAAGAATTCATCTTGTCACTCTCATTTCGTGATGAAGCCCAAGTAATCAGCAACAATAAGCGTCACCATCCTATCACACTCGTTAGCACACACCCTCACATCAAGCCAAAGGACAAAAACTTACGCATGCGGCGCAATACGGACATAGTACGTCCCAAAGCCACGGTAAA